TTAATAAGAGCTAAGAAGCTAGAAGTTTAGGCCTTAAGTTATAGAGCTCTATTACTAGTAGAAGAGAGCTTAGAAGTAAGGAAGGAGCTTAATAGAGATATGATGTTCGGGAAGCTATAATACTAAATATATATATATAGATAATTAAGCTTTTAATCGAAGGAGACCTCGCGTTAGAACTTAATAAATAGAGGTTTAGGATAAATATTAGAGTAAATAGCTATAGTAGGAGGTCTAGTAGGCCTAGAATTCCTAGTAGATATATTTAGTATATTTGGTCAAGTAGTAAAATTAACAATATCTCTACTATAATTAATTTACGATCTACCTCGACGTCTTTTTTTATAAAGTAGCGTTATAGGCTATATATTTCTACTTAGAATAGTTAAATCTATACTATAGGTATAGATACTAATAGCTTAGAATATTGGAGACTTTATATAGGTTTTTTAAGGTTTTAGTTACTATAATAGACGTAGTTAATAATATAAAATTTTTATATTATTTAGGAAGATACTAAGCTTGCTATAATACCTAATAGATAGCCGCTAAGGTCTAGGAGAGCCTTAGAGTACTCTACTAAGTATTAACTTCCTAAAGAGGAAATCAACAGGGGGGGTACTAGGAGACTAGCGTTAGGGGCTCTACGAGCAGCCGCAGGCGTCCGTGCTCGCGAGGCCCGCTTTAAATTAGGATGAGTTTTTATCCCACATGCCAATGCCTCTTTTGCATCGAGGGCGGAGGACCAGAAGTATTAGCAGTCTCAGAGGGTGAGCTTGTGACATTATTGTGGCAAGAGAAAGACAAGGCACTGTTGATATTCATGGACGCTATTACAGGTCCTGGGGCAATGGAAGAGATCTTTTGCAGGGCAAAGGATCTCTATAACGACCAGGAAATGGTGGATATTGTTTGAGTGAGAAGAATATTCTTGGTGCCTACGGTTGCACTTTCACAATATAAGACAAATTTGAGCTTGAAATGCTCAAAAGCTTGGAGAGCACGCAACGGCCATTAACATAAACTCGATTGTGTACCATTCTTCCTAAAAACGATGAAAACAGCGTGGGATGATATTCTAATTGTGTAATCCACTGCCTAGAGAGTACCTATGGAGCCAGAATTGGAAAAGTAGAGCGCCCAGAATAGGCGAGGTTAAAACGTGGCAAAATGACACCGCATTGAGCAAACAAAACCTGGGATAAACCTTGGCGCTCCAAGTTACTATATCTTGGCATCCTCTAGGCAACGGAGTGGACGTTCAATCGCCCTGGCTTCCACCTGCGTTCATGATTCCGTAGTGGAAGCGATCACCGTCCACTTTGAGTTTTAACTAGATTTCAAATTTTGATCTCCCAATACGACAGAAACAAAACATTTCTTCTCTGAATTATAAGTTACCACAAGAAATTCGATTTGGAATACACGAGTCCTTCCATTGAGATTTATAGGTTTTAAAGTAGATATCGCCGTGGTATATCATTCTACAAGAATTAGCCAAGAGCATAGTTTTCAACTATATCTAAGCTGGTGCTCTCTACACTTTTCCCGTCTATAATTAGTTCTGAAGTTATCAAACAACAATAGTCGCATTGACTTTCGTTCACTGAAAGGTGTTTTCTTGTAGTACGGAAATGCTACATATTAAAGGATACATTCCTTTTTATAGATAACTTGCGCGTTTATACTTCAGGGGGTTGAATGAACGAACAGAACTGCTAATTTTGATCTTATCTAGTAGACCATGTTACTTTCAAGAGAAATAGAATGAGAATGATGGCCTTTTAAACTCAGATAGCACATTTGCTGTTTTAGGTGATTAACACTATGGTTGATGGCTTATCTTGCATACCTTCTGATTCATCTTGTCCTTAACTCCCATTATAACATGGCGTAGGCATCATCACAGAATGAGTATCTTACTGGGCGCTTTTGGATGTCTAAGGCATCATGTCTTAATGAGAAAAAAGATATATTGCGCAAGAATGGGATGCCCAGCCTTTGAGAAGCCTAAAAGAGGGCCTTTGAGAGAAGCGTTTGCTTACGGGGAACCAAAACATTTTCCAGGGCCGCTGCAAACTATTGTATAGAATAGAGTAATGTGCCTTAATTCTTTTACCGTTTTCAGAGTCATGTTTAGGTCTACATTTGTTGCATGGTTCATGCTCCGAAAGATCTTTGAGTGCGATGGTAGATATAGAGAGATTCTTATTTCATGCTTTGTTAGAAAACGACTTGAGTATTTTTTGATTTTGCGAATTAAATTGGTCCAGGAGAACTGAATGTGATAGAGCAAGCCATCTTCTTAAGGGGTGCAAGACTACTTACTATTTTGCTGTCAAGGATGTGTATACCGGCTGATTGTTCACCCTTTCTCTTTTTAATCACTTGAAATCTCGAAACGGTGGAGTAGCCCATACAGTATTATTCATGCAACTTCCCCTCATTTACTCCAAATATCAAAATCTGCTAGTCGGTTGCCCGGTACCAGATTTCAATGTAAGAGAAATATGCTTGTTTGAAGTGGGATCTTCAATGAGAATAAAGAGAGATTTTTGAATGTGTTACGAGGAGTAATTAAAGGGGCAAGTGAACCTTGATATTCACTTTATTGTTCTTACCACCTCCTCACTCCCATCGCTGAGTAAATTTACAGTAGCCGAATGTACGCCCCCAAATTCCAGTTCTCACCAGGTCAAAAGAAATAAAAGGGTTTCCTTGTGAGGAATTTCGGTTTTGAGCAAGAATTGTCCATAAGATACTGTACCTGGATAACCTGGATGGTACATATTGGAAACGTCACGAATGCAGGTCATGGTAGTCCGAGGCTCACACCCGCCCAGAAAAAGGTAAATAATTTAGGCCCACTGGAGAGCTGTTTCTTTTTTTAGAAGTTTTTTATGAATATGGTGGCGTCAAAGAAAGATCCATTAAAAAGGCTCAATGTACTCAGCAAGTCCCAGATCAGTTTTCCGATTTTAGCGTGCTCCTTTGGGAATAGGTAGTTCTCCCTGGATTCCAATAACTTTTGGGTTAAAGTATGCGCGTTTAGAGTAAACTAAAAGCTATTTATATTGTCGTTCAGGGCAGTAAGATACTTAAGCGGCTGCTAGTCTAGTTTAACTCAATCTACTTTTACGATTTGCAATTAATTAGCGTAATTGATCGAGTACAAAAGTCAGGTTATTCATCTTTCCATATACAATCATCCCTTGCAAACAAAAAGTGGCTGACATTGGACCTAATCCGTGACCCATAGAGAAACTTAACGTGGTGTGAATTAGAACAGACAGCTTACTTCCGGCCCGCAGTTAAAGTTCAATACCTGCATCTTAACCCTCGGCTCGTAAACCTGGAACCTACGACAGACAATCTTCGCCCAGGATATGTAAAAAGCCACATTTGAATATCTATTTAAGACTTTCATAAATTACAGATTTCAACTCCAAGTTCTGAATCAAGATCCACTGAATCATGGCCCGGCTGCAAAGCTTTATTTCAAAGACTCAAGTACGGAATGCCCTTGAAGTTAGGAAACTGGCTGAAAACCTGAATCTATTTGCCATGTCTATAAGTTGTGATGAATTCTAAAGCACTGTTCAAGTCCCCCGAGACAGGTACCGTTTGGTTAGACATACAACGCACAAATTGCCACCAGAGCCTAAATTTCTAGATGTTGGATTGCTTTTCTTTCTTTTACTTTCATGCTGTAGTGTCTGCAAGGGGGGTTTTCCAAACTAATAAACGTAATAACCACATGGTAACCAAAAGGATCTGCATGGCGCACAGTTCTGATCTTCCGGACCATGTGGCGGTGATCACTAACGTCATGATCAAAGAGAAAGAGGTACATGAATCGTTACAAGCCCAAGAAAGTCTAATTCGAGGGGTATCATAAAGATACAGTACAGAATCTTGTCGGATGCCCTACAATAAATCAAATTGTAACTGAGCTCAAGTCATGGGCACATCAAACCGAGTGTATGTTTGGTGTTAGAAGACAATAATGACTCAAGACTTTCCCGTGACTCGAAACCGGGGTGTAAGAGTCATCGTAATACCCCATGAGCTTGTACACCAGATAGACCAATTGTAAATTTTGGTTTCCTATATGATCACCAATACACATCCGAAGGCTTGTCCTCTGTGGGTCAAAAGACCTCCACTTTCTACGTAAGGTGGACCGGTTTGGGGCAACATCAAATTACACCCTCATGTTTTCACTTCAAGTTCTCCTCATTCTTTATGGGCGTGTACTGTCGAATTGTCCGATCAAGAGAAAGTTCACATCAAAGTTGTCATGTGTCTGATACCAATTTGAAGTGCCATTCTATTGTGGGGATGTTAAGACTCGTAACTCTTCTCGATGTTCTATGGGAAAGGGGGTGAAAATATCAGAACGTCACTTTTGGTCGTTCCGAATACGATTCCATGTGTTTAAACTCAGCCTAGACCAGTTCAACTGGCCTACTGTAAGATACATGATCATGATTTTGTACACAATAAAGCAACTTACTATATATACCAAACTTTTAGCACAAGTACTGTAATCTAAGAGTCTTACTTATATAGGTTAATGAAAAGTGAAAAATAACAATCATTCCGTACTCTTTCTACAACTATTTTAATTGTACGAGGCTTCTTGAATAAGATTGTTCTAGGCAAGGTGTATAGAGAGTAATCACCATGTCTCTTACTATTCCGTCAACTAACACCTCCTTTATCTTACTTTGCGCGTAAAGCCTTAGGCGTATCTTGGATAGAAGATTTCAGCTTTGTAATCATTACACGAGTGTATCGAGAGAGATGTATATAATGACCCAGAACCGTCAAGTAAAACGACTCTTTCATCTCAGCCATCTTCTTCATTTATCACAACATACATTTAGTAATTCTGCACTACACTACTGTTAACTCTTTTTGGTCAATTCTTAATCTCATCTCCCAGACTCTGCCCTGCTAACCGCCACTTTCCTTTAGCCCTGAAGAAATCGCAAAAAATGCAGATGAGTTTAGTACTCGTGGTTCTCGTATCCGTGGTCTCTGTGGTGGGAACTTCTATTCCCACCTTCGCTGGTCGTCTCCACCTGTAATTAGACGCCTTTAATTTTGCAACTTTCTATTGATTTATACTAACGTTCCATCAGATTAGGTTCGACAGATCTCCTTCCAAGAAATCAAATATTGTCCTTCAAGACCGCGAGGAAAGGTCCGACTTCTTTCAGGATAAATACCCAACTGTATTGGAGGCTAAGGAAGAGCCCTTCGAGATCAAATCACCTGTGCCTAAGCCCAACGTTGGGGCATAACAGCAACAAAAGGGAGGAGAAAGGGGAGGGTTAGCAAAAAAGATTAAGACTGGCTTAAAGAGGTTATGGCCTTGGGGCAAGTTCCACATTAACGAGGCGTAGATGGAAGGTCGGTAGTCATTTGCCAGGAACGCGAGAGATTTGGTTCAATCTGACTTGGTGTATTCATAAGGGGGAGTGTCTCAAGTTTTGCGACGGTTGTATTTTCTGAAGTTCTATTGCAAATATTCCAAGGAGGAAATGGGAATAAATCACTATGAAGCTAGCTTCACAGAATCCTCAGGTTCTTTAGTGTACTGAGCGGAAATAAGGGTTTTTTATTCTTCTTAATTTAGTAACTTTGAAATGTCACACATTGCTATTCTCATGTTATTTCTGTCACTCACAGTGATTAATTTATGGAATTTTAGGCATCCTCGCATTAAATAAGACAAACTGCGCAAATTCACTTCATGCTCTCTCACTTGAATTGAAAACACGCTAGTACCAGCCGCTTGACATTCCCATCATCATGAGCGCAGTGTTCGTGCTCGCAGACTCAAACAAAAATATTACAGTCAGCGTTACTCTACCGTACAAATAACATCGCACAGATGCCCGTTGAGTTTTCTTTTCACCTCTCCGGGAATTCCAACACATTTACATTGGATACGAGGGAACGCGTGCCCCTTATCTCACCTACTGAATCTTGGTCACTATGCAGAACCTGTAGATCTAGGAAAATAGGGGAGACTTTGACCTGGAATTCATTTCTACAGAAAGTCTATTGGTCTCTGGTATGACTTGAGCTGAGAGGGGATGGGGAACGACAACATTATATTCCATGCTTTCCTGTTTGTCGCCTTGTTGGATAGTCTGCACTCAAGAACCGTAAAGCCTCGAACATGCTCGAAGCACATATAGGACACAAATTATTCGAGAAAATAGTCTCACTGTTGATATAATCATGATACGAATGCGACTAATGATTCAACACAAGCTTTCGACGTGTTACTCGTACGGGGGAGACCTTGCTTCTCTCGTTACCGTCAAAGACGAATCCGTATCTCCTCCGTGGTACGTGTCCGGCGAGGAATGTATTTAACCTAATTAGGGGCGTGTAAGGTGGTTTCTAGTAAACCCTATCAAAAAACCCTATTTAGTATTACATGTAACTTCTACACAAGTCGAGAGAGACTTATATAAACTTAGGAATGTTATCTTAATATATAGTACCACGTAAGAATTAGAACTCCGACCGTAAAATCCTTTTAATTATTAATATAAAAAGAGACGCGTTTGAATCAGGGGCTCGCTAAACACTAAAGCTCATCTTGGCGGGACACGTACCACGGAGGAAATAGCCTTTCAAAAGGTATTTCAACCACCCTGAGTCTCATTGGCATCGCAAATAGCTCCATGGTTTCTGAAATATCTCATTGGACATGTGTAGCAGTTTTCTATGTTTGAAGACTCTATTCGCAAAAGCACCCAAGCGACAAAATTTCACAACCGATATTTTGAAAAGTCAGGCACCTGGCTCAGAAGAGGGGAAAATTGCCGCAAACTATATTGTATGCTACCAAGGTGATTTAAACACTGAAAATACATCGTCTTTGGGTGGATGCTCTTTGTATTGCTTGAGATGACGAAAAGAGACAAGGAGCGGCACAATTGAGATGACCTAAAGGATTAGATTTGGGAGTATCTCATATTAGCATAAGTAGAGGTAGCATCAATATCTCTAACGTGGTGCTATAAATGTTAAATTGTCACAACAGGAATATATTTGATTTTTCTGTGTCATGACAGAAACGTTAAAAAGACCAAGAATAACTCAACAGGCATTGCCCCCAGAAGGACAGTGCTATGCCTCAATGGTTAGTACTGTAGTACCCCAAACAATGGGAACTGCCGTTGGTAGGCAATAGCAAGTTTGTGTAGTTTAGAAGACAGGATAATGCCATTTGAATGATTCGTGAATTAGACACACACTAAGAAGTTCTTCTGCAACTTGAGCATCACATCGGCACAACCAAAACTGCAAGACCAATAGATCTAAGATCTCCCTCCCGTTCTGCTTTTACGTAAAAATAACCAGGCCTACGAAAATGTACCTGGATAGTGCCATTTATATTCGTAGTTCTTCCCACTGGATATATTACTTCCTCTACCGCATTCGACAAGAATCCTCTCGCCAATAAACTCGCTCCTTCCACAAGAGTTTCCGTTTTCAGATCTCTGACAAAATGCAAGATTGGCTCGCCAACAGCTACCTTGATTTTATGTTTCTCGTGGTTGAAATTCACATCCATGGCTATATCTAGAAACCTCCCTGCAGTGTATGCTCCGTATGCCCAGAGAACTTGCGATTGTCCGTTGGGTTGAATCTGGCATCCTCCAACCTCAGCAAACTTCCAGTTTACCAACAGGTCCCACGACATTGTTTGTGTTTGGATGTCTGTTCCAATTCGTGTGATTAGGAAGTCGTCAAATTGCTCGTACCAAAGGCCGTCGACTGTAAATTTTGGCAGTTTTGAAGGCCATGGTTGCGAGCTTGCTTCGAGGAGGTAATTGGTAGCAGTGGCACCTCGGTATGGGTTTGCATTGTTGTTTGTACCGTCGCAATGTGTGCCCTTTGAAGAGGGAAGAGTGATGTTGTTGGGACTGGTGGAAACATGTCCTTCAAAAAGAGTTTGGGTGGAACCTTCGACACGAAGCCATACCGAGCCGCAGTATGTACATTTTGGTTGATTTGACAGACCTATACTAACGGCAGATACCTATGAAATCGTTATTGCTGATCTAACAAGAATATTGGGAACGTACGGCGCAGCTGATAAAGCAAACTGAAAATGCAATTTCCAGAAGGAGAAACATGATAAGGAGCATGGACAAGCCTCATTAGATTTTGATCGGGAGCAGAAGAGTCCGTAGGATGTTATACCAGAACGATATACTCGTGACCAATTGTCTAAGCCGAGACTTTGCAGATTCTTTTTGTACCCGAGTACTACTATGCTCAGCCCCGTGAACAGAACAGGAAGGTTGCACCAATAACTAACATTCTTTGAGCTATCCAGCTCGCTAGGTTGCATAAATCACATTTCATCACCACGTGAAAGCAGCGTAAGAAATGAGTACAGTAGAGTAGAGTAGTGGTACCTGGTACATACTCTACTCTACTCTACTCGCCAAGTACTCGATTACTACTTGAATAGTACGGAGTGAGCAGGACCGAGCCTCGGCCAGCTGGCGCCTCTTTATAAGATATAAGCGACAATATAACCGAGCGCTTTAGAGTCGAATATCCTGTCTCTTTTAACAGTAAACACTAGTTCATAAAAGTAAGGGTTTTTATTGAGAAAAACGATGGATTGGAGACAAGGGTGCTACTATTTAAGGACAATTATTTTATACTTTAGTTACGTTTTAGTCACGTTCCTGTTATAAGTACTCGAGTACCGCCAGTGTAGGCAATAGTTTTCTCAGTTCCGCTGGTTAGTTTGGTTAGTTCAGTTTTTATGAACACTAGTACAGTTTTAAACGTATAATCCAAACTGCTGGTTAATATAGTTTTGTCTCTTAAAACTGTATAGTTTTAGTAGTTTTATAAGACTATTTATAGCGCTCTTAATAGGGTACTATTATACAGGTAGGGTCGAGGTTATACTAGCACGTAACTAGTAGAGCTCCTCCTAGAAGACAGTCGCATTCTTTTCGGCAATTTAGGGTGCTCTAATTAGCTATAGCTCACCGCCTTAAACCCTTACTACCTAGGTATCTATTAATCCACCTACTGTAAGTGTCACGCGGCCTACCCTACTAAGCTATACGCTAGCAACAGTGTAGTAGAAAGACATACTAATAGAATCCACCTACTAGCCCCTTATAGATTAGCCTAGAAAGCTGATTTGAAAGTTGAAGGAACACGACGACAAGGACATTATAAGAGAAGTAGACGAGTTATAAATTTACTAAAATTAACGTACAGTTTTAAAAACTACGATAGTTTGCTTGGTTGGTTTTGTCTTTTTTGAGTACAGTTTTCGGATTTTGATCCAAACTACCTACAGTTTTACGGCATATTAAACTGAGCATAAAACTGAGCAAACTGAACTATTGCCAACACTGAGTACCGCTAGAGTAGTATTCCAGTAGTTGATGATTTCTTTCTTACGCTGTCGTGAAAGAATTCTACCTAGCTAAAACACGTTCGCTCTTGAAAGTTAGTGTTTGCTCTGTTAGCTAGCAGCTTGGGTGTTCTTACCAAGCAACTTTGAACAGCTTCAAGATATCTTTTTGACAAGAGGCAGCAGAGGACATCTCACAATACTCAGCTAATCAGCAAGCCGATGTGGGTGAAGCAGGACGCTACCCAGGTACTGGCACTCTCCTCGAACTGCGACTTGATTCAATATAGTGTATATCTTTTATATTTCAAAACTCGAGTCTAGTTTTCCAAACTTCTATGCCACCCATTCTTCCGCTCTTCTGATCACAATACCCTTCTCCCCGCAAATTCATTTTCGACAGTGAAAAAATCGTATATGCGAGGAGGGAGAGAGAGGGGGTAGTACGGTGGTGTTTCTCCTTCAAGTCTTCTCTCTGCTCTTGTTATTGGATAGTGCGAGCCTACCTCTGTAACCTCAAAGCCAAGTCAAGAAGAGGGAAGAACGAGCTCCACTTGGCAAAAGGTTCCCACATAAATTGCGATCGCCCTGTACGAGCCCCCACTAACCCCAAGACACCCCGTTTCCAAAAGCAGCGAGACTCTCCAGAACACATCCCCCAATGATCCGGAACACCATAAGGAACGCCCTTCCCCATTCGCATTTCGGTCCGTCCCTTATCAGTTTTCCAGATCCTAAATCCCGAATATCCGTGATTCCAAAACATCGCCTCTCCACTTGATAGGCAAAGAGGAGGGCAAAGAGAGATATGGATGTGAGAAAAGGGTGATATGATGTTGGGGGTACCAACAACTGATTGCCGATAGATAAAGATTGAGTTTGCAGTGACTAACCGAAATGCCCCCTGATACTCCATATCAAGAGCATCGCAGGCTAGTAGTGGTAACACCAGTTTTTTTACTAGGGTGTAAGACTTATAGGGATGAGTACTAGGGGATCTACGTACCCGACATCCGCCTAGGACTATAGTCTATTTGTTATATTATAGACGTATATTTAGACTACGTTTATAGTTTTTAATAGCCAGAAGTATAATTATTATATATTTAAGGTAGAAACACGTGAAAAGGTCGTCTATAAGAGTTATATATAAAAATCTAGTAATTAAATTAGATTAATCTTATAACAAATATATAAATAAAGGGCCTTTAATACTAGGATTTAAACTAGTCTAGATTTAGAATAGCTTAGTATATAATATAGCTTAATATATAGCTTAAAAGATATTAACCCCTACTGATTTTTAATCCTCTTCCTTTCTCTAATAATAATAATAACAAAGGTATGTACTACTATTCTATACTTCTTTATTTACGATTTTTTTTAGTTAAATATATCTTTTAATTAAATAATATAATTTAAGATATAAGAATTCTATTATATAAGCGTATATATAATATACTCTATTAGTATATTAAATATATACTAATCTTAACTTTTAAGCGTATTATCCTACTAACTACCCTACTAACTACCCTACTAACTACCCTACTAACTACCCTACTAACTACTATCTACTATCAACTACTATCTACTATCTATACTATCTACTACTTTAATTTACCTTAAATATACTTATAACTTACGATTTATTTGTTTTAGTTAAGTTTAAATAAATCTATTTACTTTTATTATTTAATTTTACCTTTTACTAAATCCTATATCTAATATATATCTATCTTTACTATTTTTACTTTTGATTTTTACTTATTAATACTTTTTTTCTATATCTAATATATATTTACCTTTACTATCTTTACTTTTAATTTTTAATTATTAATACTTCCTTTCTATATCTAATATATATCTAGTTAATTTAAGCTAGATTTATATTATAGAGAAAGAATATCGGAGATATAATTATTATATATTATAGGTATACCCTACTCTAAGTATTCTAATTCTAGCTATATTTAGTATAAGGTTTTACCTAGTAGGTTTTATTCTTTTATAATACCTTATACTAATAGTCTATATAGATAGTATATTAAAAACCTTAGACTATATTAATATTATAGTAAGTTCGCTTATCCCTTTTTATATAGAATATATAATTAATATATAATAGGCTTATAAGATAAAGTATAGAATAATCTATAATAATAGTAAGAAATACTATAAAGTTATTAAGTAAGTATTATACTATCTTTCTATATTTAATATAAGTTAGTTCTATTATTCTTAGAAATAAACTTATAGTATTAGGGTTAGGGTTTCTATAGCTAGCTTTTAGGTACTAGAAATATATATTAGATATAGATTTAATATACTTAAAAGAAACTTATACTATTATTTTAGACTTTCTAGCTATAGAAATGATATTAATCTTAGTATAAACCTTCTAAATATATATTAGTAATATAATAAATATTTAATATATATCTAATATACTTTAATATAAGCGCGTAGGTTAGCGGTAGATCTACTATTATATATATTTATTACTAATATATTTTTAGGGTATAACTAATATATATTAGAGCTATACTAATACCTAAGCCTACTAGCGATATAGAAAACCCTTATATTTTAGCTAATAAGTAAGTTTTTACTACTAATATATTTTTAGAATATAACTAATATATATTAGGGTTACTATAAATACTAATAGTCTTAATAATACTAATAAGATTATAAATAAGTAAGTTTTTTCTACTAATATATATTAGGGCTACTACTACTACTAATACTAATAGTTTTTACTATACTAAAAATATAGATATATAAGTTTTTACTATTAATATACTTTAAGGGTATAACTAATATATATTAAGGTACTACTGATCCTAATAATCTTAATATTAATATAAATTAGATAAGTAAGTTTTAGTTCTAGTAATATATTTTAAAGGTATAATTAATATATATTTATTAGTATTAATTATTCTAAATTTATAGTTAATAAAAACTTAATAAAAGAGTAAGTTTCATTTAATTTAGAAGTACTTATAATATATAACTAATATCTAATAGTATTATAAGTAGTAAAAGTAATATATAAAGGTTTTTTTTTTTCTTATTATACTATTATAATATATTGAAAGAAAAAAGATTACTGTATATAAAGGGATTATTTTAAGATAAAAGGGTTTTTTATTTCTATATACTTTAAAAGTATATCTATTATTTATAAAATAAAATAAAATTAAATAAATCTATAGTTTTTTTTTTAGAAAGAAAGAAATAATTCTTTCCTAAAACTTCTTTATTATTTAATAACTTTATTAACTTTATAATTTAATAAGTATAAACTTACAACCTTTATAAAGGGTTTATAAGTTAAGAGATTTAGTATTTATATATTCTAGTAAAGTACTACCTATAAAAAAAGCGGATATATAACTAGTATACTAACTATATAGTTATATAGTTATATAGTTATATAGTTATATAGTTATATAGTTATATAGTTATATAGTTATATAGTTATATATTAGTTATATATCTCTATCTTTAGTTTATATACCGCTTATTTATACATCTTAGATTAGTTGAAATCTATGTTTTTTTTCTCTATTAAAGCTTTTAAATTTCTTACTAGTTCTTCTTTTATTTAACTATCTATTTATAGTATATCTAAGTTATAAATAAGATATAATACTTCTCTTACTTTTACTTTTTCTACCTACTTTAATCTTTAATATACCTTCTTATAACTAAAATCACTTCTATTCCTATAAGGGTATTCTAGCTACTTTA